CACCTGGATGTAAGACCATGTGGAGATCCCCATGGCTTTCCTACTAAAAGACCATGGGAGAGCCCATGACACTCGGATGTAAGACCATGTGAAGAGCCCATGGCTTTCCTATTAAAGACCATGGGAGAGCCCATGGCACTTAGGTGTAAGACCATATGGGGAGCCCATGGCATCCTGGAGTAAGACCCTGAGGACGAGCCTGCGGCATCCGTATATGTTGATATGCATGGATATGTGATTGATATGGTTTATGTAGATTTTATAGCTAATATGGATTATGTGATTATGTGGACTGTGTGGGGTATGCTCTAGGGAACTCACTAAGCTTCGTGCTTACAGTTTTGTTTATTGGTTTCAGGTATCATCGATTTGGAAAAAGAAGGGCTCGGATTGATCGCAGTGCACACACCCATGTTTTCTGCATTGAATGATTTTGGGATGAACTCTGATAAATGTTTTAATTAACGATGTTTTGGATGTTGGCATAAATGATATCTATGTTTTGTCTATATTAAAAATGAAATTTTTACCCTCGATTTTTGGGTCGTTACACCGCTCCCAGCACTAATCTCATCCTAGGCTTACCCTAGGGTAATCTCCGACCCACTCTCTACCATCAGCTGCATAAGAAGTCTCTGCTACTTCTCCCTAACGAGCTTGCGAATACCATTACATATTACTAAGACCAGATAATTATTCGAATGAGAGGTCTCTCCCTACAACGGTTAGACTCAAACGAGAGCTGCAAAATAGGGCTAAACCTAACCTTCTGAAATTATTTAGTCCTCGTAATATGTAACTTAACATATTCGTTTACTAGTTAGTTAAGATAACTAGGACTCCTAAAAGCACAAAGCAAGCAGCATTCGGACATTGAGTAAACAAAACCAAGCATATCCTAATCAGGCCATCATATCACTGATTAATCAGTACTAGCATGCAGTTCAATAAGCTCATACAGTAGGCATACAAGGCATCCTTCCTAGATCCTTAGCCCTAATCTAGCATGCAATTCTCATACACATACAGTAGGCATACAATGCATCCTTCCTAGATCCTTAGCCCTAATCTAGCATGCCATTCTCATAATCATAACATATATCATAACAAACATGTATGGTATCTTAGGGAAACTTACTTGAGTTCGGCCGATTGCACGCATCACACTCCTTGTTCTTTATCAAAACCCTTAATTTTAATTTTTTTTAAAATTATTTTTTTTCTTGTAAAAACCTCTCAAACCCTCGATTTGAGTCCAGACACCCCCGAAAGTGTGTCCGAATCCCTCAAACCAAAGCTTTGATACCAACTTGTAACATCTTAAAATTCATGACCAAAAATTTCATTTTTAATTAAGTAATTTATAAAAGCGTTATTCTGAAAACATCGACAATGCCATCCCATATCACAATCAAAACCAATATGTCAAATATCCAAAACATGTCATAGAAAAGTAACGTCAGAGTACAACTCCCAAAGATCTCATGTGCGGAAAACCATAGTGTGATGCGCTGCGATCATGCCGGCTCCATTCCTTTCGAAGAAGAAGTACCTGAAACCAAAACTGAAAACCGTAAGCACAAAGCTTAGTGAGTTCCCTCATCATACCACATAATCACATACTGTCAGGCATATCCGGGTGCCCGGCCTACCGTGTCAGGCATATCTGGGTGCCCGACCTACCCTGGTGAGCATACATGGGTGCTCAACCTACCCATGTCAGGCATACCTGGGTGCCCGATCTACCCATGTCAGGCACATATGGGTGCCCGACCTACCCTGCCAGGCATATCTGGGTACCCGACCTACCCTCCGGTCTATTTCAACCGGCTATGGGGTCTATTCCACCCCCTTACCACTACCACATAATAACATATCATAAGCATATTATCAGGCATATCTGGGTGCCCGACCAACCCTCCGGTTTATCTCAACCGGTTACGGGGTCTATTTCACCCCTCCTACCACTACCACGTAATAACATAGCATGCAAGCACATAAATCTCTAAAGATAGTGGCATACCAGACAATTATCACAAAGACAATCATCTCTACTATAAACAACTACTAGTGGGCCGACATTGGTGCCTTCGACCCATTCATACAGGGAAGGTAACTCACCTCACACTGCTGAAGCTCACTGCAAGAAATCCTTAGTTGCTGCTTTGGCAACTCCTCGAGCTAATAATACCAAAATATCACCCAATTAACAATTGGGTCTCAAACCATGATCCATAATCCATGCTTGGGGTAAAATGACCATTTTACCCCTGTCCCAACAAGTTAGAGACTTTATACCTTGAAAGTCACGAAATGGAGATGTTAACACTGGATCCCCAAGATCTTCCCTAGAGGTTGAGTCTTTCACCTCCTTCTTCTCTTACACAAACCACCAAAAGTCTTCTTTCAAGCTCCAAGCTTCACCCTAGGCACTCTAGGGTTTCATGAACGTCAAAAGGGGTGGTGGCTGACTTAAAATGACCTAAGAAGTGGTATAATGTTGCTTATATAGGGTAGAAACCCCCGAAATTAGGGTTTTGGTCTGAAGGGAGTACGCCTCGCGTACCTCTTAGTACCCCAACGTACTCACAACCCACCTGCGACCAGATGACCTTATACGTTGGGTGTAACCCAGCTTATGCTGGGGGTACCCAGCCAAGCACGTGCATGCATCTTTGCATGCATAGGACTAATCTGCCAAATATCTCCATTAGGGGCTAACTCTGCCAAAACCTTCAAAGTACCATAACTCCCTCATTCTAGGTCCGTTTCCAACGAACCTTATATCCACGAAAAGGTGGCGAGAAGCCCTACACTCTTAACCCAAGCCTTAAAACCTCCCAAATAAAACCCAAAACCCATAAAAGACCGAGATATCAAATTATCGTCATACCCTTGGCTTCCGGAGACACAATCGAATACTTTGATCATTTATACCATAACAACTACATCCGAAATGGGCTAAATTCTTCCTTTCCCGAAGCCCTAAACCTCATGACATTTGATGATTGGGTCGCAGCCCCAAGCAACAAGGCAATCCGAAACCGAGTGTTACTTAATTGGATGTAGTTTGCAAAATTTCATAAATGATCCTTTGGCATTAAAACTAACTTCTTTTGACGAATAGCTTTCTTACGGGGAAATAATTATTAGATTTTATTATCAGTTTTTATGTAAAAAAATTACCACTTTTAAATAAAATATTTGTGTTTAGACCTTATACTTATATTGCATGTTTATATATTTAATGTAAATTAAGTCATATTGATGTCTGGTTTAAAATTTTTAAATTAATTTATATACATGACTTTAATATTTTAAAATTATCATTTTGCTAGAAATTAAATTTATTAATAACTTTTCTTTAATTCAAGTCTTCAAATTTTTGGCAAGTATCAATTATATTTATGCATAATTGATTTGTACAAAAAACTTTGTAACTTATACTTTTTAAAATTCAAGATATGACTAATATGGTTTATAATATAGTATAAGATAAGATATATATATATATATATATATATATATATATATATATAAATATACCCTTAAGAGTATATAAGCTTACGTACCCAAACTTATCATAAGACGTCATTTTGTTTGATATATTCATTATAATGTTTTTAAACTTCAACCCTAACTTGATTTACTTTCAAAATTTTCAAAATCTCACTATTATCTTCCTCTTACATCACATCTTTTTGCCGAACACCTACTAGGTTATATATATTATAGTTTAAAATGAAAATTATATGAGAAGAAGATAAATGTGAAATTTATAAAAATCTTGGAAGTAAATCAAGTTAGAAGTTGAATTATAAGAACATTGGACAATTACAATGTATATATATGATACAAAATGACGTAGTGTGGTGAGTTTGGGTACCTAAACTTATATACCCTTAAGGGTATATTCACTTTTCCCATATATATATATATATATATATATATATATAAATAATATATATATATATATATATATATATATGATAAAACTGCAAAAATAGTACCTGTGGTATGAATTTTTTCTGGATTTTAGTCCAAACCCCGACTTTTTTGACATCATGGTCCTTTTGATCATGTTTCTGTATGGATTTGGTCCTTTTGATCATCTCTCTCTCTCTCTCTCTCTCTCTCTCTCTCTCTCTCTCTCTCTCTCTCTCTCTCTCTCTCTCTCTCTCTCTCTCTCTCTCTCTCTCTCTCTCTCTCTCTCTCTCTCTCTCTGATGAACCAGATGAACATATGTTTTTCATTCATCTTTTAACATAGGAACTGGAAGTGGAAGGAAAGGTATTATCCACGCATATTGATATGTCTGTTCCATAAAAAAAAGTTTTTTATTCTTAATTAATTGTTTCCGATTCACCGGATCTTACCTCGTTCGAAAAAAAGTCAATAAAAAATCAAAATATGCACTAACTTATTTAATAATGTTAGATTAGTATTTATTCTGAGTCTTTTCAGAATCGTTCAAATCAAATATTCAAAACAAGAAGTTACAATTGGTCAAATGAGATGACCAAGTTAGATATAAAAATAAATACTTATAACATGAAAATGCAAATCTAAATTATTATTACGAGAAATTCTCGTAATAATAATTTAGATTCATAGAGCAAGGATAAAAAAAATTATGCTAAAAAGAGTACTTGATGCTGATCTGAATTATGATTAACTAAGGTCATGTAGAAACAAAAATTCAAGGTTCAATTTTAAAAGACACACAAAACCAATCTCTCTCTGCTCTCCCATTGATGTTCAAGCTTCTGAAGAGCATAATTTTGAGCTTTAGAACACTGATGAAAAGGCAGATCCCAAGCATAAACGTGATGAAGATTATCAAAGTTTTTTGGTTTTCTGAATGTTCTTGTCCGAACATGAAGAAAAAAAAACTGATGAATAAACAAATCTTAAATCCCTGTCTGTTATGAACAAATCGAGACTCAAACTCGATTTCAAGAACTCAATAACGAATTTCAAGAACTCAATAATGGCTCATTACCCGGCCTTAGCTAGACAGTTTATTGTATAGCTAGTAGTTAGAGGATACAAAGTGTAAATATATAACTTATATATACTAGATGTAATCGTTATTATCAAGATATACAAATACAACGTTCTATCAAGATTGATTGTTCTTATCAGACGAAAGTCGTGTAAAAAGAAAACACCATTTATCAACCAGATCATGTTGCCGTTTTAATTCTTGATTTTACATTTTTCTATAATAACTTTCATTTCTTTGTTCTGCTTCCGAATCTGAAAAGCAATAGAACACAAATTATAAAAGAATATCTATATCAATATTTGATAAATTCAAGAGTAAATTACATTTTTGATCCTTGAATATAGCTAGTTTTTTCAATTTCCGTCCCAAAAAAATTTCTCTTGCAGTTTTAGTCCTTATTTGAGCTTTTAGTATCATTTTTTGTCCTAGTTCGATTGTTCCAAGTGACTATATTTTTGGGACCAAAAGAGCCATTTTACTTAGAACGGGGACCGAAAACGTCACAAGAACCAAAAGTGCAAGAGTACTTATTGGGACCGAAGTTGCAAAAATCGGATATAGTCAAGGACCAAAAATGAAACTTACCCTAAAAGCAAATGTCCTTTATAAAAATGGATCTATTAAGTCCTAACTTTTTAATTCAATTTTGAAGGACCTACCAGAGATTTCAAGGAAAAGAGGTTTCCCTCACCAAATCCTAAACTCTTTACAAATCTACCCACAGTTTAGTTTTCCTTCCATTTTCTTAACTAATATTTACACATCATTTATCCAAACAACACTTTTGAGGCAAAAAAAATTATAAGTTTACAGGTGAATTACCTCCACCCGAGGCTTTTTCCCTCGAAGCAACGCATCCACACTTCTTTCTGTCTGAAAGAAACCAATAACTTATAGATTTAGTGTGTGTATATATATTAGAGAGAGAGAGAGAGAGAGAGAGAGAGAGAGAGAGAGAGGATACCTTGTGAATAACCCAACAGTGTCTATCTCTGATTTCAATCATAAAGGGAAAGGTAGGAGGTCCAGCCCTCTGACTCACACTTTTCCTTCCATCTGTTTGTTGGGCTTGTTGATCCCCTAAAGTAACAGATTGTATTCCCCCAGCCTGTATAGTATAAATACATAATAATACAAGTTGAAGTTGCAAATTTGGTTGGAATGGAATGAGAAATACAGCATACATACCAAAGGAGACAAAACAGGATTCCTTATTATATTTTCCAATCGATCACCATGGGCACTACCAATAAGCATGACTCCTCTTTTAGCAATGGATTGACAAGCAATAACTTCAGCCCTTGTGCTGATTTCATCAATAATGATGACTTGAGGCATGTGATTCTCAACTGCTTCGATCATGACTTTGTGTTGCATTGAGGCTTTAGAAACCTGCATTCTTCTTGCACTGCCTATTGCTGGATGTGGTATATCCCCACCACCTCCTATTTCATTGCTCGTATCCACAACCACCTAATATCCATATCGTCTGTATTCTTTTTTTTTTTTTTTTTGAAAATGTTTTGAATAAAGTTGAAAAGAGAATAAACAGAAAAAACATACCACTCGTTTATGTAGCTCATCTGAAAGAACTCGAGATATCTCTCGCATAACAGTAGTCTTCCCTACACCAGGCCTGTAAAGTTTCACTGTAACTCACTAACTAAAAGTAACAATACATAATAGGGTTGAATGAATCATTTATTTGTTTATTACAGCATCCTACTTTCATTTCCTTCTATCTATTAAAACACTCTAATTGCATTTTTTTCAACGTACCATAGAAAATCAACCTAGTTATATCAAACCTTTTTTTTTTTACTAGGACATTATACTTTGAAAACTCTACCTAATTACAGCATTGTGCTTTTGTTATTAGGACATTATACTTTGAATAATCTACCCAATTATAGCATCAAAAATTGGTTTGCATGCCGATGACATTGCTATAATTTGGATGTGCAGTGTTGTAACAAGAAGAAATGAAAGTAGAATGCTACAATAAACAAATGGATGAAAGTATCTTGTTATTTCTGGCATTTGTAAATTAATAGTCACATTCTGCTAAAAGCCAATGTCCTGTCCATTTTGATCATTTAACATTTTAAACTTGTGGCTCACAAGTATATGGTGTGAGAAAAGATAAAGATACGGGTCCTATCTACTTGATGAGAGGAGAAATGAAAATGGGAGAATAAGGTGTAACTGTAACAAACGCCTAAGTTATCATGATAATCACCCGAGTAATGTTTTAAATGTAAATAAAAGAAATACAAATCCGCCTGCTTTCGACAGGTGTCTTCTCCCAATGACACTCATTTTGACCCTAATCCAATAATCAAATATACAGAGCTACTTAATTGTGGAAATGCTTAAATCATTTCCTTATCCCTTGTTTTTAGAGTTATTGAATCATGAATATAATATCAAAACCTTACAACAAATCCAACATGGTCATAACAAAGGCCATCCCAGTTTGAAAGGTCTTTTGGCTTTTACTGTATCTCCCAAATTTTGAGCCTTTTGGTTTTTCAAAATTGTAAGTAATATATGTAATTTTGTACACAACCTTTGCTTCAACATTTATTTAGAAGTTTTGACTGTTGATAATTATCTACAATACAAAACACTTGACTGATGATGATAAAATAAAGGGATATTATTTAACTAAAAATAACCACATTCTAAGTTAATATCAAGGTTGTAAAAAATGCTTAGCAGTAGCTAGTTGAGTTGACTGGGGTCAAGGGATTAATCAAGGACCCAAAATTATAGAAGAATTTACTTTTAAAAAATATATATATATATTACCAATTACCTAACAAAATAAGTAAATAATCATTAAAAAAAAATCATAATCTAGTGTTTATGTATTTAAGGCACGAATCATCATACATTAAGTTCATAACCGACAGCCTAGACGAGGACTAGGGTTTTTTGTTTACTTTTGTATTTTTTTTTTTTGTTTTTATTGATTTACTTTTTTTACTTTTGTTGACTATTTTATTAATTTTGACCTTTTAACTTTGCTTACAAATTTTGACCGATTAAGATCAGTTAGCACCAAAGCCAATTAATTGGACCGACTAGCACTAGTCGTAAGCGGTTGGAGACCGATTTTTACAAATGTGGTTAATATTAAAGAAAATAACCCAAATTTTTTAATTTTTTTGGAAAATAACCACCTTTTGCTTCCAGAAGTACTTTTTCTGACAAAAATATATATTTCGGACCGAAAATCCAGATTCCGGACTAAAGAAAAAAAAACTCTTCTTTATTTCAAGAACAAGTCCGCAATCCGATGAACAATTCTAGAATTTGAAGAAAGTACATCGTTTTTTACTAAAATATTTAAAAAAACATAGCAAATGAGAAGTATATACAATACAAGGGCTTAAAATCAAACCTTTGATTGAAAAACGGTGATATTAGACACTTCGAAATGGACATTTCGAACATGAGTACAGAGAATTTAAAAAAAAAAAAAATTGTGCAAATGAGAAAAAAAAAATACACATTATATGTTTTTGATCAGTCCGGAATTTCAAGAAAAAGTCCGCAATGACCCATTTAGGACAAGATGGTGATTTTTGCAAAACACAAAAAACTTGGTTACTTTTGGTAAACACCTGATTTATAATGGTTAGTTAGTTCAATCAATATCCCTAGTATAAAAATCAAAAGCAATTAGCATCCGTAATTTCAGATTTGTAATGGATAACATGGGCAAAATGGTAATTTCAGATTTGTAATGAGTAATGAAGGAGACTAAATAATTTACCTTCCAATAAACAAGATACTTTCTCCAAACTCAAGCAGATCCCGCACTATGTCAACGATTCCCTTAACTGCCCTGCCAACTCGACAAGTCAACCCAACCACAACCCCTTTTCTACTCCTCACTGCAGATATGCGGTGCAGGGTGCCACTGATACCACCTCTGTTATCCCCTCCAATTTCTCCAATCGCATTTTCAGCAAACTCTAGCTCTTCCATTGATATCTATTATCGTTTAAAACTTACAGACTAATTATTTTATTTACCTCATTAAATTCAATCTCCACCAGATTAAATCATCTTCTCGGACAAGACTCCTAAAATTATATAAAACACCTTACATATCTTAATCTCAGAAACTTATGTAATTACAAATAATGACAATAAAAGCACAAAATAGTTGCTGATTTGAATTTCTGCATATTAACTCGTAGAGAAAGAGTTGCAGCATTAAATTTGATCAGCTGATATCTTTGACATCTATTTATCAATCATTATTAAGTTAGCTTACAAAATCCACTCAACACTACTTGTCATCCATTGGTCCATCCTTCAAGAATTGTAAACTCCAAAAACATATATATATAATAAAATAAAAAAATAAAATATGAGGATGCAAGGCGCTAATATATTGAATGAGAAAACCAAATACAGCAAGACTTAAAACCATGTTGGAAGTTATTGGTATCCCACATCTTATGGCTTATAAAAGACTCACAATTTTTAATTTGTATACATGTGGGATAGTTTTTATAAACTCCCCTACTTCTGTATACATGTGGTGTGGGACAGGTTATTATACACAAACTATGTTAAAGTTTAGCCGATAAAAAAACAAAAACTATGTTCAAGAAACATTTACCTCGGTATCTCTTATGTATCTCCGACCTGAATCACCGAGGAAGCATGCTTGTGGCAACCGACCTAGATCCAATATTACCTACAAACACAATTAAAAAAATCATGGAGTTGTTGCAAAAAAAAAAAATAATAAGTGACAAATTTTAAATATCATATTAAACTTTGGATTCCTTTTCAAGCTCTATATGAGACTTTTGTACTGATATATTTTGTATAAACTAATTTGTAGAGTAAGTTATACAAGTTTGGTCTCTGTGCTTAGCTTTTTTTTTTTTTTTTTGTTTAGGTCTAAAAAGAGACCATTTTTCAGTTTTGGTCCAGGACATTTGACACCTCTCGGGTGGTGATCTCAACCCACCCCTAAACCTAAAGACAAAATGACCACTTTATATGGACATAACGGACTAAGAGAAATGGTGTCAATGTCAGGGACCAAAAGCGTTATGAAACATTGAAATAGTAAAAAAAAAAAAAATCCTTTATTTGTACCTAAACCGAAAAAACAGCTAAGTGGACCAAATTTGTAATATACTGTGATTTTATTTTACTTTTTTACTTTTTTTCTTAAAAATTTAACCATATATGTGTAAAACATATTTCGTGGTTTGGTATCACATCAAACATGGTAGGTCGTTATTCATCAACATAAAAAATGTTGGAAAAATTTTGGCCAGGTTGGAGTTGCTCTTAAGCTGTATCTTTTTGATGATGCGTTAATGGAAGAAAAAATTAGTGAACTAATCAAATCAACTCTAGAATATTTAGCATTCAAATAGCAGAACTTGACTTCTATTTCTATCAATGTGCCCATCCCTATATGCTGTTATACTACATACAGAACATTGCAACTATCATGGAAAGAAACTACAATATTTGAAAGAAAATCAGATTCACCTCCAACAGTTGATCTTTTTTAGATTCCATCACAAGGTTGTCACGCAAATCGTGTGGAAGGATCTGCAAAACAAAAGGTCATCTTATCTTGAAAAACTCTAGTCCACTTCCGATTTTAGTAATTTAGATTTACTTTCATGTTAACAACTGGCATGGATGCTGGATGCTTTTACCCTTTATGATTCAAAAATTTTAAGCATAATGTAATAATATTTTCTAATCGGAAACAGCAGCAACACGAATACTAGTTAGACTCAAAAGTAGAATTCCTTTCGTGAGGAAAAAGGTGTGCATGATTCAACCATAATTCCGGAAGCAATTTAATGTTAATAGTGGTGAAGGCTCAATCAAACAACTTAAGAGGCAGCACCCAAATTGCATTAAGCTATGAAAATTCAACCTTCAATCGAAATGGGAAAAGTAAAGCATAACACGGAAGAAGGGAGAATTGATAACCAATACCTTTAACAATTCATGGATATCGTTGGCATTATCAGAAGACGAGCACTTGACAAACCTAGTGCCAATAACAGGTTTGATGATGCGACTTGAAAAGAAATTGGGGTTGAAAGAATGGCGTTTGTAGAAAAACGAGGAGCTACTAGACCACATGGACATGGTTGTTATTGCTGCTGCATATATTTTCTGCTTGTAGCACTGGCTTTATACGCTTGTGATGTGGGTCTCAGAATATGAGTTCCGAGCAAGAGGAAAGGGTTTTCCTTTTCCTCTAGAAACCGTTTTTCCTCAAAAAGATATATCAAAAGGGCACTTTTTAATGAGTATATATATATATATATATATATATATATATATATATATATATATATATATATATATATATATATATATATATATATATATATATATATATATATATATATATATAGAGAGAGAGAGAGAGAGAGCTAGGTTCAGATATTTAAAGTAATTATTGTGTTATTGTATGCATAAATGTGGGCCAATCAAAATTAAATAAAAAATTAAATAATTAAATAAATAAATAAGGGTAATTTAGTAATATGATTAATAACTTCCAAAAATAATCCATATAATCATGGTATTGACTTTTAACCTAATTTCTCCAAGTTTATATCTAATTGACTTTTTCTAACTTTAAATTTATCCCCTTCATAAATCGGCCTCACACCCTTGATTTTTTTTGCAGTTGATCTTGAAACTGATACGTGTTCTTCATCCTCTTCAAATGAATGACATGTTTTCTCTTCAATAACCCTCATCCTTCCCCAGATCACTCAGTCCCATCTCTCCAACTACAAAACCCATAGTTCTCCGCTCCCGCCCATCACTATAATCCTCGTCTCGCCGGAAAAAAGTTCTCCTTCTTCTCCGTCTAGCTGCTCCACCATCTCCTGCACCAAATCCTCCGGTTGAACCACGATTTTATTAACCCTTTTGGAGGATTTGGGGGCTTCAAGCTGGATTTCGTTTTGAATGAATGGCCCAGGAATTGGAAATCGGGAGCAGATTACAGAAGAGGAAAGATGGATTAAAACCTATATCGATGGCGTATGAGAGTATGAAAGAGTACAAAGCTGCAAAACTAAGGGAATTGAAACCAATTGTGTTGAATAATGTAACGCCCGTGTTTCGAGGCTAAGCATTGATGCGATGATGTAATAGCCTAGGTCAACCATTGTACCTCATTTTAAAGTAATAAAGATGAATTACTTGAATATTATGTGAATTATGTGTTTTTGTGTGCTTATTACTTGTTTATAACAATATAATAAATAAAGGAGAAAAATAAGCGTAAAAAAATAAAATGTTAGATAAACTCGATATCTATGAAGAAAGTTGTAGTGGTCGAAACAAAGATTCCGGGGATATAAAGAATGCCGAAATCTGAGTTATAACGAAGAAGTTATGACCCGTCGAAGTTTCGCAACGGAACCGGCACGGCACCGAGAAGCGTAAATAGTGAATTTACGATAGAGTGATTTTTAGCATTAGCGATCTAAACGAAAGTCGTAGAATATGTTAAACCGAGAACATCCATAAAAAGAACGCCCAAATCTGACTTTGTATGAGGAAGTTGTGATTTTTCTAAGATTCGGCTTAGCAGTGCACGGCCCGAAACTCGAATTTTAGTTCGAGCGGTTTTTGGCTTACGCGACCTAAATGAGAGTTGAAGATCTCATTAATAGGAACTCAACGGTAAAAAGACAGACGAAAACGGAGTCCGTATGAAGGAGTTACGAATTCTTCGCGGTCATTTAACAGTATAATATCCTCCTACTGTTAAATTTAAGATCGGTCGAGAATTAGCCGACGGAGTCAAAAGTAAAGTTGTAGATCTTGTTTTTACCTACGCGTGGATATAAAGAACGTCAAAAACGGAGCTCGTATGCGAAAGTTACGGGGTTTAGAAGTCGGCATGGTGCTGCTGCAAAAGGGGTGACGTGGCACAATGTGGGCCACCCACGTTCTGCCACCAGAATGGTGACACCTAGCCTGGACTCGACGAGTAGAAGTACCAACTCGTCGAGTAGAGCTGTTTCACAGCCTATAAATAGAGGTGTCGGGTTCAACACTTCTCTCACACCTTCAACCTTCACTTTCTCTCTCTAAACTCTCTCTCTCTCTCTAACTCCCCAAACCCCCCAAAAGCCTAGGAAACTTCCCTAGCACTTGAAGAAAGCCTCGGAGAGCCCGGAGTCTCCGAGAAAAAGAGTTTTTCGGTTTGAAACTCTGCACGCGTGGAGCCCGGTTTTCAAGCAAACTTCCCGGTTTCGTCAAAGAAGATTATTTTTAGAAGCGAAGTGCTGTCCAAATCACTCTGTATCAGGTGAGTGTATAGTCACTTTCATCTTACACATAGATATGAAGTATTTTATATAAATTATGTGCTATGTGGATATATATGTTATATGTTTACCTGAGATGTTTGCTGGATGAAAGATCTATACCTCTTTCTTTCAGATCTGAAACTTTTTCCTTCAGATCTACACTTTTTCATCTCAGATCTAAACTTTTTCTTCATATTTAAACTGTATACTTTGAGATCTATGTTGGATGAAAGATCTGAACTTATTTCTTTCAGATCTGAAACTTTTACCTTCAGATCTACACTTTATCTTTCAGATCTAACACTTTTCTTTCAGATCTACACTTTCTCACCTTAGATCTAAGCTTTTTCTTTAGATCTAAACTGTGTACTTTGAGATCTATGAAAGAACTGAACTTCTTTCCTTCGGATCTGAACTTTTTCTTCAGATCTAGACTGTATATATATTTTATGCTTTGAAAGTCATGCTAGATGAAAGATGTAAGCATTATTTTTCAAATCTAGACCGTATAAATATTTTATGCTTTGAAAGTATGTTGGATGAAAGATGTAAGCTTTGTTTTACAGATCTGGACCATGTATGTATTTTGTATCTACAAATATGTTGGGTAGAACAATGGGTAGATGAAATAGATGATGTGTGTTAAAATGATGAGAGGCCTCGATGTTTACGATGTTTAAGATGATCCAGTCGTCTAGCGGAGTATAGATGACGACCACGGACTTTTCTAGGCAGTCCAGTGGAACGCTAGCAGGCTCGCAACATGTAGGTGTTTTTGAAGATGTACTCCATCCCCCCCATGGTTGCCTTACAGACACATATGGCAGAGGAATCCCCTTAGCAGTAGTGTCCATCCCGATGAAATTCCTTAGGATAGGTCCCTTATAATAGATGCTTTAGGGACGTAAAGTGAGGACAACGGGAATGGGTAATCGGGTTAGCAATTTGATGAAAATAAATAATGAACTTATTATTGTGGGTTGAAAACCCTATATGCTCACCAGGCTCCCCAGCCTGACCCACTCAGTTTCTTGTATTACAGGTAGTGGCAAAAACATAGTTGGATGATTTGACGAGAGATTACGGATTTGAGGCCAGATAGTGTTTTGTGGCCTAAGGTGTTTAATTCTTTTTAGTTTATGCTTATGGTCTGTATCGATGATTGACATCCCGAGTTTTTGCAATGTAATGGAAATACATTTTTTTAAGAAATGCTTTGATAGAATTTATATCATATTTTGTTTTGGGAACAAATTCCGCAATACTTTTCTTAAGAAGTTACTCTGATTTTTATTTAAAAAGCATAAACGAAATCGGTCTTTTCTGGCCATAAAAATAGGGATGTCACAAATAATCCTCAATTTTTGGTGGACAAGAACGAAGGTGATGACACCGGAGATGAAATTGACGAGGGCGAAGGTAGCAGGGGCATTAAAGTGGCCCCTAGGAACCCTAAAATGGTTGTATATGATCCTGAAGCTGCCAAAGATCCAGAAGGTAATTTTATAACATTCCCACTAAAACTGGCTCAAATAGTACTCATTTCACTTCTATAAAGCTGAATTCTTACATATAATTCCATGATTTGAAGACGAATTTGTGTTATTATAATCCCGTTTTTGGTTTGTTTTGCTAATTGCTTCACATACATATTTAGTTGATCCATTCCTTTTATATTAGGGCATAACACCCAATAGCAGGCAAGCTTTATAGCATGCTACTGCTAAAGCTTAGCTTCTCTTCATTCTACTGATGTTGATGCTATTGGTCTTGAATATTATGGTAGACGAAACAACTACTGTAAACGACATGTGTATTGAATTTTTATTTCTTTTTACTCAAATATACCAAGAGATTATGATTTATTGTAAATAATGTATATACCAGGTAGAAAGATGGGCAAACCAGTACATTGCTTCTACTGGTTGGTTGCGTGAGAATATTCCTTTTGAAGATTCTTCTGGAAGCACGACAGGTTTTGTCCATGGTGATTTACGGATTGATGATCTTGTTTTCCATCCTGTTGATAATCTTGTTTTCCATCCTGTTGAGGTGTGTTTCCATTCTGCAAGATCATTATTAGAAATGCTCACTTTTGTAGGTCAAGTTATATATAATCTTTCCCAAATTATTAATTTATAATTTAATACTAGGGAAAACCATGGCCTCTTGTTGGACGGAAGTTTTATAATGCATTTTAATTTTTTGGCGGTGCATCAATCTTGGCAGGTGTCCACAATAGTGAAGGTAGTTTGTCACTATTTTCATATCAAATTTATTTCTTCTTATATAATAAAATCAATTTGTTTATGTAGATGATTCAATGGATGATATTAGTGAGATTCCAATTCTATTGGAATGGAATCACGAATTCCAATTCTGTTGGAATCACAGAAGTTGATGCTTGAAGAACGGACCACAAAAATTGAAAGTGATTCTAAGCAACATTAGTCTTTTAGAATGTATTAGTGTCGTTGTAAGATTTTGATGTTTTCTTTCCCGTTTTGAAAGTTTTTTTAGTTTTATTTTTTAACAATAAATGTAATTCTTAACAATTGTTACCCGTATTCTATAAGAAATAATGTATCTTTTGTTCTTATTCTTCAATTGATTGTTCAAGAATTTGTTATTCTACAAGAAGTTTTTAAAGTCATGATCAAGAAATAGGTTCAAGAATATTTTTATTATGAAAAAACATCATAAATGGTCCCTGTGTTTTCCCAGATTCTGAAGTTTAGTCCCCGTGGTTTAAAAATCTCATGAATGGTCCCTGTGCTTTCAAAACTTTTGACAGATGGTCCTTATTGCTAACTCCGTTAACTTTTGTCCGTTAATTGAGGGGCATTTTCGTCATTTCACACCACAGGGACCATTTATGATCTTTTCAATTATTTTTTTTAAAAAGAAAAAACTAAATATAATTATTTAATATATAAAATCGCTCTCTCTCTCTCTCTCAGAACATATATACAGACATTAAAACCAATACTCCCTACAACCAAAATCTTTGTCTATGATCCACTCCCACCCCACCATTTCCCTTTCTCTTCTCATTTTTCTAAATCCACGAAATCGAGCTGCTCTAAGCATACCTGCAATTGAGAAAAGAAAATCAAAGCTGAGCAGATGAATGAAAAACCCTCACCCTTACTCTCTTCCATTTACAGAAACAAAATCAGATCAAGCAATCAGAATATCTAATCACATTAAGCAACAAGTAACAAGTAAAAATAAAGAATTTTCTCTAATCTAATATGATCACGACTAGAAAACGCTCCAATTAATCAAAAAAATCATGAGATTCAGATCTTTAGATCTTTAACTGGTAGAAACCTACCAAAAACAAGATTCAAAGTACAGTAAATGGAGTTTGAGGAATTACCGAAATGAAAAGAAGATCAGAGAGAAGATGATTGAGATCAAAAGAAGCAGAAGCTGATATGGGAGAAGGACGTCGGGGAAGTTGAACCCTAGCCCTCAACTCTCTTTTGCTATGATAGATGCGCAACCACCATCGACCTCATCTGTTATCTTCAAGCCACCTTCTGCAACATCGACCATTCAACAACAAAATTGACATCAAGCCACCTTCAACGCAGACAACGATTTTGTGGTTCAAGACTGCCACCGGAGAAGATGGATTTGTGGTTCAACATTCAGCGCCCCTATCTTCACCCGCCATTGCAAAGATCGTCGTTGGAGCAGGTTCTGAAGTTTAGGTTTTAATTTCCACAAAGAAATCAAGCAAGAACAAACCCAAATCAAGTAAGGATGCAAATGAGTGATTTTGTTGACCTCAACAGGAGACGAGATAAAAGGTAATGGGATGCCGGAGATGCGGTGGGTACGAATATGTTACAGATGTGTGTGTATGTATCGGCGTGTGTTTATGTGTATGTGTATGCGTGTGTGAGAGAGAGAGAGGGTGGGACCCCCATTTGCATATTATTTTAATTTTTTCTTTTTTTTAAAAAAAAAAGTGAAAACATCATAAATGGTCCCTGTGGTAATGAAATGACGAAAATGCCCTTCAGTTAACGGACAAAACTTAACGGAGTTAGGGATAAGGACCATCTGTCAAAAGTTTTGAAAGCATAGGGACCATTTATGAGATTTTTAAACCACGGGGACTAAACTTCAGAATCTGGGAAAACACAGGGACCATTTATGATGTTTTTTCTTTTATTATTTATGGTTCAAGAATTTTTTTTATTTTTGAATATACTCATAAACATATTTTGTCAAAATGTCTGAATTAAAAGAATTATAATTCGTAAAATCGGATTTTTAAAATTAATAGAATCTATGATCCTTTAAAAAATGCAATTTTCCTTTATGAAATCTATATTAATTGACTAAATTACCCTTGTAATTAATTAAGATGATATTTTTCAGTTATATTTAATTCAATAATATATATTAATCACTTTCTTAAAATAAGTAAATTTGATTGACCCACATTTATGAATACAATAACACAATATTTACTTTGAATAGAATAACTTAAGCCTATATATATATATATATATATATATATATATATATATATATATATATATATATATATATAGTCAAAATAACCAATTTGATAGGAATGGGGTATTCTGATTAAGAAAAAATATTTTTTTGACTAATTTCAGAATGGCATTCCGGATTCCGAACTAAATTTTCGGATTTTGAAAAAAAAAACTTTTAAATTTTCAAGAAGAAGTCTGAAATCCGAAAAACAATTCCGAAATTAAAAAAAAAAATCATTTTTTTACTTAAATTTAACAAAAAAGTTTAAAAAAAACATATTAATGTGAAATATATACAATATTAGTGCATGAAATTAAACATTTTATTGAGAAACGATGATATTAAACATTTTGAAATGTAACATTTAAAATCAAAAACTAAAATAAAAAAAATTCTTTGAAAAAAAAACTCCGGAATTAAGCATTCCGAAGAAAATTGTTATTTTTCAAAAACTGAAAAAATGTGGCTATTTTCTTTGAAACCCTTATTTATAAAGGTCAGTTTACTCAATTTCTCATATCAAAACCTTTTTGGTGACTTTAATACAAAATTTCCTTAAAATTTGTTTGTTATATACCCAATATTTTCTTTTAAAAAAAGTTATCAACCTAGGTTCATATTCGTTCTTTTTTTCTTTTTTCTGTTTACTTCGTTGTCTTAAATTATCAAAAAGTAATCGCACATATTTTCTATTATATTTTTCGAGACTTTACCAACATGAATTTGTTTATAACTAGTGGAATATTCCGTGTTGCCACGGGTTAACTAATACAATATGTTTAATATCATTTTTGTAATATTCTCTTCTCTTACATAGAGCGTATTTCTGTAATTTCATTATTACGTAGGACTATTTTCATAATTTTGTGAAGCATAGGATCAACTACGTAATTTTTCTGTTAGTCGGAAATCAATTATGTAACTTTATCAAACATATGGATCATTTATGCTAATTCGTTATTAAATAGGGAGAGTTTCTGTAATTTTGTGAAACACAAGTACCTTTTCAATAATTTTGTGAGACCATTTCTATATTTTTATAAAATGTATGGGCTATTTTTATATTTTTAAGAAACATATGAACCATTCTGTAAGTTTGCTATTGGACAGTGTCCATTTTCTATATTTTTGTTAAATAGAGGGACTATTTCTATAATTTTCCCATCAATATCGGGATCATTTTTATAAATTGTAAGGACCAGTAAAAATAATTTCAAAGCAGAGAATGCTTATATAAATCACAGACACTACTCGGAAATTAGGCATTTTGGAAATGTCGGTCATTTTGAAAAAAAGGAAAAAAAGAAAAGGGTAGATAGTTAAAGCCCCCAATTTTGGGTGGCCATTTGTGTGATTAGATGATTAGTTAGGGTTCTTAGAAAATGTCATGAATAATTAGGTACGCTAAGCTGAAACCGGAACCTTATTAGAAAATGTGGTGGCATATTCGTGTTAAAAATATAACATTATATTTCATATAATATTATATTAATATTAAATATTTAATATACAAGAAAATGAAATAGGAATGTATAAATTAGAATGAAAACAATTGACATGTTATCCGGCATTTTCTGATCCACAAGTTCAAAAACTTCGGTAGCTAATGCAGGGCCATCATCATGCATGCAGATGCAGTATATTGAAATATCGTAATCCGCCACGTCATCGTGATAATCCTAGATGATAGCAGCATCAGATTTCATTTCACTCCTCCAACCAATCACAGACATCCTATGTGGCAAGTCTACATCCACGAGAAGTTCCATTTAGCAAGGACCTCTCCCTTCTCATCAATTCTCATCGCAGACAAACAAAAACAGCTAAAGGTTTAATTTTCGGCAAGAATGGCTTCTATGGCAGCAGCGTCCTCACTGGGTGTGTCGGAAATTCTTGGAAACCAGCTAAAGTTTTCGGGTACGTCCAAGACGGCTCCTTCGGCTTCTAGTCCTGCAGCCAGCTTTAAGACCGTCGCCCTTTTCCAAAAGAAGAAACCTGCACCCAAGGCTAAGCCCGCCCCCGTCACCCCGGCTTCCGACGAGCTTGCCAAGTGGTACGGTAAGTATTATACATAATAATATATCACTACTACTACTACTATGCATCCATCCTCATGAAATACTTATCTGAAATAATTACAGGTCCTGAGAGAAGAATATTCTTGCCCGAAGGTCTTTTGGACCGGTCGGAAATCCCAGAGTACCTCAATGGGGAAGTCGCCGGAGAGTAAGTCAATTACCTAATTACACACTACCATCTACATTCACAATATATATATATATATATATATATATATATATATACCAGCTATTAAATGACCTTTTTTTTTCATCATCTCATATGCAGTTATGGTTATGATCCTTTTGGACTTGGCAAGAAACCAGAAGACTTTGCCAAGTAAGTTCCCACTGATCAATTACTCAAGATAATATACATACATACAGAGTTGAGTTGAGTCAACTCAGGGAAAATGGATTATATACATAGTTTTCCGTACAACGAGTCAATCATGATCAACCAACTGTCAACTGACTTTGGTTTTCTGTATATATTTCTGTGTACACACACACACACACAGTGACACAGTCATTGCTGTCTCTAAGTTAATTACAACAAGTGAAGTAATGTTATGGTATGCAGATACCAAGCGTTCGAGCTTATTCATGCACGATGGGCTATGCTGGGTGCGGCGGGTTGCATCATTCCCGAGGCCTTCAACAAGTATGGTGCCAACTGTGGCCCTGAAGCTGTCTGGTTCAAGGTTCGTATCACATATCATATCATGCTGAAATTACTAATTAATTAAAGACTAAAACTTTAACGAGTTTAGTTTATTTGGGTACATGGATGCAGACGGGTGCTCTACTACTTGATGGGAACACATTGAATTACTTCGGGAAGAACATCCCCATTAACCTCGTCCTGGCTGTCGTTGCAGAGGTTGTTCTTGTTGGTGGTGCTGAATACTACAGAATCACCAACGGCTTGGTATGAATCATATATAGAATATAACCAACTGTTTCAGAATATTGTATTCCTTCCATGATTAATTAATTTTGGGAGGTTTTAATTTATTTATGTACAGGATTTTGAGGACAAGCTACACCCTGGTGGCCCATTTGACCCATTGGGATTGGCTAATGATCCAGACCAGTTTGCATTGTTGAAGGTGAAGGAGATCAAGAATGGTAGACTAGCAATGTTCTCCATGTTTGCGTTCTTCATCCAAGCGTACGTGACTGGACAGGGCCCTGTTGAAAACCTAGCTTCTCACTTGAGCGATCCCTTTGGAAACAACATTCTAACTGTTATTTCTGGAAACATTGAACGAACCCCAACCCTGTAAACCCCAAATTTCAACTCTTCATCATGATTGATAATCAAATGCCACTCATGTAATCTATACTTTTTGATTTTATGACAAGGTGTTCGATCATATGTTGGGTCAACATATATTCATTTCGTTTGTTTATCATTAGCATTTTACATTTATTATTTCCTATTACAACATTTGAAACATTCACCCAACCACAGCAATATCATTCAATCAATGATAATTTTCATTGCTAAAATTGGTGGATGTTTCTTAGTATGTCTGGAAAAAAAAAAGTACAATTTTGTAAATTGAATGATTTTTCAAAAAGCAATGCCTTAATAAGAAAAAATTTGTATAAAGTTGTAATCTGGTGGATTTTTAATCCTATGTCTGCCAACACAAAACACACAGTGCAACTTGTTTTGTCATGTCTCACGTAAGCGAACAAACAAGCAACTGAACTATTTTTCCATGTATTAAGGTGTTATTTGTTTACTTTTCTAACAAAGCCACAACACATGTTGCATACACTTTCCTGTTAACATAACCACTTATCCTACGTCTTAATAAAGTGTAACCAAAAGCCAACAAAGAGCAAAAATTGTATGGTAGTAAAGTCAAAGAGTTATATACATACATACATACATAGGTCATAAGTTAAAGAGTACAGTGGTCCTTAAGCACCTGTCTGGCAAGATCCATGGCCCCACTATTTTTATAAATAAGGTGCAAATTATAAGCTGCTTCTCTTTTAAGGTCACAGTATCCGGGTTTTAAGTCATGTGTGGGTTGTAGACCATCATTCGGGAGCTTTGGGATTGGGTGATCTTTTTGATGAATTGTAAGCACCTTCTCATAGCATGTAGCCGCAAGTGAAATAAGACCAACATGGTGATAGGCTCGTGCTAGGTTGTATAAAGCTTCCTGTAATACAAAAAACATTTCCAAAAGCCACTTCAGTTATGGTTTTAGATGCAAGAAATAACAACCTACTTCCATTGATTTGTTTACTCTTATTTCTTCCTATTAAGGCATTGCACTTTGAAAAAGCAACCCAATTATACAAAGTATAATGTCATAATATGAAGAATTATGAAAGTACGATGCTTTGATTGGGTACATTTTTCAAAATAAACTGTAAGTACAATGCCATAATAGAAAGAAATGGCTGTAGGGTGTAATAATATACAAATGATTGCTATTCCTTGCATTTAGCCCTAAATTCTGTTATATGGTCATTGCATCTCATTTCTCACTCATCTTATGCCACTAGTTTACTTTACAACCAAAAATCTACTGTTTAGGATAAATTTGTCCTTGATGAGCAATTATATAATAAATGTGGTATCTGATTCTTTTTATAAGAGAAAATCTTGTTTTCCTGGCTTTCCCTATTAAGACATTCATTCCACAATAAGTCAGTGAGAAGCATCCCTATATAGCCTACCGGATTAAGTCATCAAGTCAAAAAAAACTAAGTTGCTTTCTGTTTTAGCATGGTTTGTAAACAAGTATAATGGCCACACAAGTCTAGACTTTATTCTATTCTATTAAATATATCATTTCCATGTTTCAACTCATATTTGACTCAAATAGGAGATAACGGTATTTGCATGATATTTTCTATTTTTCTTATACAATATTTGTATGTTCCCTATGATGTTGTGAAAGATTGTTTTTGTATTTCTTGACAACAGGAATGCCACAAGAAATATACTCAAATAAAAAACAACATAATGAATAAAATGTAACATTTTATAATGAAATGAAGGAGAATGATGAAGACCTGGCTGTTATCAGAAAGGCGAAGATTGTTGTAGAGAAAAGCTAAGCCTTGCAAGACACATTGATGCTTGTTATGAAGTCGCAATCCAAGGGCTAGATTGATTAGGGCAGTTCCTTTAAGATTAAAAAAATACATACCAAGTGAAACAAGAGCAATTCATTAATTATGCTATATAGAAATTAAAAACAAATATAATATATGCTATTGAGAGAAAAGAAAAGAAATAAATACCAGCACAAAGATTTAGCAAAGCATTCTCTGGCATCAATCTATAAGCTTTCAGGTAATATCTTGCAGCTACTTGATGCTGGCTATGCATTGTAAATACATGTCCTTTTATTAAAAGTGCTGGCACACAATCCTCATGTTTTGCAAGCTTTTCAAGCAAAAACTTATTATGCTTATCCAGCCTCGATCTGTGTGTGATTAAAAGAATGTAAACATTATTTTCAGTTCAGCATATTTATCCACAAAAGGACTTGATCCTGTAATGTAAGCCAAGCTATCTTTTTAACTTAATGCAGAAAGAACAACTCAGTAGACAAAGTAAAGGGATAAGTCGTAAGTTTATACAAATCTGCCATTGTTTATTTTTTTCTTTGTATATCCACAAGTGTGCAGATATTTTTAAGCATTGTTAATCAAATAATGAGAAAATAAAAAGAAACAAGATGTGATGACGTAAAAATATGCATATATGATGATAAAGTAAGTATGTAGTATACCTTAACATAATTTTATAGTAGATGTTCCAGGCTGCAAAGCTATAAGGATTTTGGGTAATGATGTATCGGGCACAATCCCATCCATTCGTGGGACCATCAATATTATAGGCTATCTCTGTAGGAGTTTTTAAAAAAAAAAAAGAGATAATTTTTCAAATCATATAGCATCTTACTTTGATTTATTCCTATTACAACAACATTGTACTTTGAAATATATACAAAACCATTTTCACTAGTATAATAGCTTTTCAAAGTACAATGTCCTAATAAGGAGATTTTTCTGAAAACCCAATAGTAGAATGCATTAATAAGAAAAAACATGTATGTAAGTAGGTTCTGATTAAGACTTACGTGCTCCAAGTGAACGAAGCTCCTCTTGTTTGTCTGTTGTTAGATTGTTTTGTGCCAATTTAAGAGTTGAAGTGATAATTTCAAGTGCTTCCCAATATCTTTGCACTGATACTAATGCTCTGCATAGCTATAAATAAAAACATGTACATGTAGCATCCATCATTAATGGCAACTGAAAAACTACATTTCAATCGAGAAAGATTCTACAGGTAGCCATAGGTTAACCATTATATGAACATAAACATAATTACAGGTTTCCACAAGAAGCACTTACATCTACAATGAGCATATGATGTTCTTCATCCTTTAAGAGATTAGGCAGGGGAGGTTCTCTATATACCTGCCACATGACATGACACAATTTAACAATTTATTACATAAGAATAGATCAATTATAATAATATGCTACAACAAATGGTATTTTAAACTTGAAATGTAAAGAAAATAATATATACTCATTTATCCGTTTACATTACTTACAGGAGAATCATCGTCTGATTCATCACTATGCCACTCAACTCCAGCAGCCAATGCTGCAGCTCGCCTTTCTTCTCTTTCTCTTGCTTTTTTCCTCAGCAACTTCTTTGCTCTAGAAGCTTTCGACCTGTTCACCATTAAAAGGGTGAAATTATTCCAAGTATGCAAAAAATAAAATCACTCTTTAATAATAATAATAATAATCTATAAAGAACGGATATGCAAGACTTACAGATCTGAAGAAGAAGCAATAGGGCGGAATCCTTGAAATAAATTGTCAGGTTGATGTTCATCTAATACCTCAACTCTTTTATGCAGCTCACTTTTTGGTAGCTTTTTCTTTGGTCTAACCTAATAAATCAAATATCTATCAAAACATATGAATATGCATCTTTAATGTAAAGTGAAATGCTTGGATGTTTCAGTTTCTCTAAATATTCCTGAATGGAAAGTCATACAGTGCACATATGAAGTTTTCTGGAAACAACAGTGAGCATAAAAAATTAATCTAGAAGACAAGTGTAAAAGAGAATCAACCAAAATATAAATAAAATGTTCAAGGTACCAAGGATATAAAATGCTTTATTTCATGTAAAGGGTACTCCTTAATAACAAAACAAATATGAGTTGTAAATAAACATAGAAAGTAATTATAATACATACTTCTGCAGTTTGAGGAGAATGAAACACATATGTTTTGGAGTCATATGGATTACATTTCAAGTTCAAAACAATATATATACAGTTTACACTTTACACTATATTTCTTATAAAACTTGATGTACAATTTCATTTTATAGAATGTTTAAAATAATTCACATGAATTTAAAGCAGAAAAGTAAACCATTGTCTTAAATTCCACCAAGAAAGGCAAATAGCACTTCATTAAGTAAGAATAATCTTTTATGATCGATAATAAAAAAGTAATAAACGATTACTCAGCCCTATGTGTTAAAAAGAGGTTGTGCAAAATCACCTTTCGTTGAATAGTTTCAAGAAACAATGTTTCACGAACCAATGGAAATATTGCATCAACAAATGCTTCGGTCAAACCTTTGGATTTATAAATATAACAAAGCTTTAACTTTATATTTTTGTCAGTCCACCAAGGTTTCATCACCCCAACCCCATCGGCATCAGAGGTTCCATCAACTCTTGATTCTGAAAATGTGTAAACAATTAGATAAGAACAAATTGAGTATTATTATTAACTCCTTAAAATAAAATCTAGCAAACCTGAATCAGAAGGTGGAGAAAGTACAGAAATGGCTTCATCTTCCTTATCTACTAATAACAAAACTGACACTAGTTCCAACCTAGCATCAATGTTGTCTTCACGTTCATGTAGAGCTGTCAAGAAAATATAATTACCAATAAATATTTTACTCTGAGATATCAACGCTTTAATCAAATGTAAAACAAAAAAGTTCATTTAGAAAAAGATTCATAAAGCTTTCCAGTAGCTTCACAACATAAAAAAAAAGTATTTCTTTTTCAGACTGAATGTGAGTAAACAATCATTTTATGTTTTTATCTATTCATATAAACTGAAGAACATGTTTTGATATTCAGAACTCACTCCTATAGATGATGAATCTGAATCATATGGTACCTTTGTAGAAGTAGTCAATTGCTTGTGTTGTTGAGCTTAGGAAAGAGTAACAACGCCCGATGTTAAAATAAAGTAGTCCCTTTACCCAATTCAATACAAAAAATCATAGTATAAATTAGAAATCAACAAGACTCTAGGCTTAAATAAAATATTCCCTTCTCCCACATTGAGCATTCCTTTCCCAAACTAGAAAAGGTCCACATTCAAAAACATATAAAGTTATCCATGACATTAAGACTTCGTCTGCTATACCAGGAAGGAGTGCACAGACAAGCTTTTTAGAGATATTTCCGATGGTGGGCATGGGCATGGGCATGAGGAGGGTATTTACGTCTTTTGCATAGACGAGAGTCTTGCTACACCTTTTAAAAATTGCAATTTTTGTCCCAGTCCGATACACCAAACACAATCAGCATGAGGGTATTTACGTCTTTTGCACAGACAAGAAATCGAGGTTATTTACTTACTTTATTGACACCATCATTCCCTTCTAACATCAGGTAGTACTTCAATGCGGATTCATGGTGCTTTGCAATCATTAATGAGTCTGCAGCTTCAATAATTAAGTGAGAATAATCATTTACAGTCTCATGTGTGAACACACCGAAGAAAGCCTACAAACATTTGACCAAAAAAGAGAGAGAGAGAGAGAACGAGGGGTTAGTTTCAAAGAGCAACAAGTCACAGAGCACAGTCAAGGGCTAAATATAAGAAATAGTAATGTACTTTCCACAAAAAATTCTATTATAGCATTATACTTGCATTTCTTCTTATTACAATCCATGATATATATATATATATATATATATATATATATATATATATATATATAAAGGAATCCTATTTTAAAAAAAAATACCTGTGCTTTTTCCATGGTTCCAAGATGAACATGGCATATCCCTGCTTGAACCAACAGCTCAACAGGTAAGTCTTTACCAGCAGAATAATTGTGTTGTGCATACTCAATATGGTGAAGAGCTTTGTCATGTGCATTTCCCAACATATGCATTGAAGCCAATAACTGAACCACGCTCAGATCAGCATCTTTTGGGTTCTTTCTCAAATACTCTTCAAGAATGCTGACAATGCGTTCATGCTGACTACATCTTTGGTACATCTGAAAATACCAAAACAGTTAATTCATTCCCATTCAAATAATATATATATATATATATATATATATATATATATATATATATATATATATAGATTTGTAAGTCCAAACCAAACCATTGCTGCTGTCTTCAATGCTTCAACATTTTTAGGACGAAGTTGCCAGATTTGCTCATATGATTCAGCAGCCTTCTGATAGTTTCCAAGCTCAACATGAACTGAGGCACGGTGATATCTAAGACTCACATCTTCCGGATCTGCCCTTATTGCTCGGTCAAGACAATGCCAGGCCTGTTCACGGTTCCCTAGTTCCCTGCATTTTATCACGCCTCATTTTTATATTCTTGTTTTCGGTAGAAAAATGCATCTAAGAATATATATACACATATAAGTATGTTGGAAGAAAACTCACATAGACCAAGTAACAAGTAGCTTCCAGAGAGATGCATCCTTGGGTGTCAAATGTACAGCAATCATATAAAAGTTAACGGATCTCATTTTATCCCCAATGGCATTATATATAAGACCAAGTGTATGGTATGAATCAGGCAGATTCGGTGAAACACGAATGATTTCCCTCAGTATAGGTATGGCCTAACATCATTTCATTACCAACAACAAAATGAGCACAAAAAATATAAACACAGCCAAGAGAATGGAAGCATGAAATAACAAATGATAAGAAAACATTTCCCAAGTTTTGATGTTTTTTTTTTGAAAGAGAATCTGTCACACGTTTGGTTGGCAGAAGATGAAATGAGATCCAACTACAAAATTTGATGATAATAAGAAGAAACCAGCATACTAAAACGTTAAAAATATGGCTTAGATTGCGTATAGCCATATATCAGTCATTTTGTAGAAATGAGGTAGGATTGGAACTGAAATAACATTAATTTATGGAATCACTGGTGGGATTTTGTGAAATCAAATGGAACTGAATTCCAATTCCTGAGGAATCCAAACGCCCTCAAAAGGTAAGGTATATACAAGAAAACCAAAGGTAATAATATAACATTGTACCTCCTCATATCGCCCATGTGCATACAAGAGTGTAGCATCACCTAATTTTCGTGTAATTTCTGGACTAATTTTTCTCTTTGATCCCTTCCTCCTACCTCTTTTCTTAATCTGCCAGAATTCATATTCGTCAAAAATCACAAGTTGACTATAATAATACAGGTAGCAACAAGAGACTAACTATGAATGTTGCAACTATACATTCATTAAAAAAGAAAAAAAAATAGTAATAGTAGGACTAGGAATCAACCCTGAAAAGAAAGTCTAGCATACCTTTCTTTTTCTTCTCATTCCATATGTCATTTCCGCCAATAATTCTTCAAAGTTTGCACCAGGGAAATCCTCTTGTCTCAACTTCTTTTCTGGTGGCATTCTGGCACAATGCACAAAATTTCTAAATGTTAGATAGTATCATATCAATTATCAATATAAGCTTGTGCTTAATCCACAAGGTTGCATAAAGAAGGCCCAGTTCATGAGATGGAAACAAGTGACATGGAAAGTGATACAAAAAAATGATAATAATTACCCTTCATGGTTGTAACTGAGGTTTGCTTTACGCTTTTTAGCAGCCAAGGCTTCATACTCATTCTCCATGCGTTCCAAACACTCATAAGGCTCAACTCCAAAAGCATCCACCTCTGTGAGAGCCAAGGGATCTATATCCCCTTCAAATCTTAATGTATATGGCTCCTCTGAATCTTCTTCTTCTTCTTCATCATCATCATCATCATCATCATCATCTTCTTCTTCAGCATTACTGTCTTCTGCTTGATTCATGTCTATATCCTCTGTTGCAGCAGACTCAGAGGCCAATTCAACGGTCTCTTTCTGATTATTTAACCCATCATCTCTTATTTCTTCTTCCCCCATTTGACCTAAATTAAGTAATTGTCCATGAAGAGGAAAATAAAACAAGTGTCTGATTTCACGATGCATAACAGAAGAATGTCTAGAAGATAATTAAAAAAAAAAAAATAGTGTCTAAATTATACATAATCTTGACTTAATTTTAATTAAACGAGCCTACAACGTGTTTGATCGCAGAACTGAAATTGTATCTCAACTGATTGGGTAACGATTTAAAAAGCGATCATTAACATGGTTGTGGTTGTGGTATGTATCTATGAATAGTTGCGCAAAGTGGTTGCAGCTTATGAATCGGAGCAAGAGAAAAGATACAGAAGTCAGTAGTAGAGTCAGTTGAAGATACCGGAAGAAGAAATTACCGGTGCGCTTAATTTTCCGGATCCGGGAGAGGGGCAAGTGTTTTAGTGAATGAGAATCGAGAGGAACATGCAGCAGCGGGAACCCTAGAAACGATTGGCAATTACTTTTATTAAATATAGCATCTCACTTATATTTATCTTATTACTTCAAATAGTCTGCCTAAGGGGCTGTTTGGTAGGATCTGAAATTTTAAGATCTGAATTTTTAAGATGTCTGAAATTTTAAGAGGGTCTGAATTTTTAAGATCTGAATTTTTAACATGCTGTTTGGTTGGAACCTCTGAATTACTGTGATGAATGATAAAAATGACCATTATACCCTTCTATATTATTTTTTGCCGAATCAACTTCTTGAATAATTACAAAAAAATATAAATACCATACAAAATCCAAATTAAACACAAAATCCAAATAAAACATTAATATTTTCAAATCGACAAAAACATGTCTCCAAATCAAACAGTTTAACCTACAAATTCAAATTCAACAAAGAAACATATAAGCTTATCATATTTATTTTTGGTGCTTAAACTCATGACATAGTATTGCTCAAACATAAAGTGAAACATTCATTCACTTGCTTTCAGTGAAGATATATATACTAAACAGTTATTCTCGATTTATCTTTGGTAAAAAAAGATATAGCTATCAAAAACATGAAAACTACAATAACTCAATTGCTATTAATTCAACAAAAATGTCTCTAGAGTACATACCATTCAGAGTCTTCCAAAGATTAACAAACAAGAAGATAATATGTATCTCTACATGTCAATACTTATGTTGTACACCCTCCCATACTTCTTCTCCCAAACAATCTTTAACAGGTAAGGTTATAAGTTGTGTTAACCTAAACTCTCAATTCACCATTATCCATGTACATACAATGAACAATTCACTAGGAAGATCTTACAAAATGCAATATACAAACCATAGCAAAAGGGAAATTGAGAAGTGTTGATGTGAAGACGCAATTGCTCTTGACATATACAGAAATTGATTAATTATGAAAAAACTGTAAAAATTAGTGAGAAACAGAAGACAACGATAACATATGATTCAACATCTGATTTCAACATGAAGACAACATCATCAGATTTTCAAACGATTCCCTAATTTCAGGGGAATAAAAGGAAAACCTTGCTTTGATTTTAGGGAAAAAAAGCAAATGATGCACTGATCTTCAAATTTTAGGGGAAACAACTATGATAATTGATTTTCAAGCATTAAACTCGAATTACATAGCAAGAGAAAAAAAAGACTTTACCTGCAAAAGTTGTCAGAGGCGAAAGAGGTGACGGAGGCGAAGGCGAAGCCGACGGCGCCAGTGGCGTTGCAGATCGGAAGGAGGCAACAGATCGGAGTTGGAAGAGGAAGGGGCGGAAGAGAGAAGTGGCGTTGAAGAGAAAGGCGTGCGCATGAGAAAAGAAAAAGCGCAAGTTTTATCCGGGGCACAATTGTTTCTTTTTATTTCAGACACGGGTTTATGAAAAAAGAGGGCATTTGTGCAATTAAGAGGTATTTTATAAGTGGCTACCAAACACCTCACATCTAAATTTTTAAGAGTTTGTCTTTTAATTTTTCAATTAAAAGGTAAACAAACAGGACCTAAATATAGGGGTGTGACAAAAAACCAAAACCGAATAACTGAACCGAACCAAATGATGTTTGGTTTATTTGGTTCGGGTTATTTGGTTATTCGGTTAATTCGGTTTGGTTAACCGAATAAGGATACCTTATTTGGTTTGATTTTGGTTAAATTTTCATGACTTTGGTTAAACCGAATAAACTATTTAATTGTTATATATTTTTATAGTTTATATATAAATTAACATTTTATATTTAAATTGATAGATGGTTACTAAAAAATATTTTTATAACTCATTATTTAGTTATTAACCATTATAAATTTATAATTGTTTGCATATTGTATTAAATAGCAACAACTAAATAGCCAAATGTCAATTAACCTTCGTTCATTTCTTTCCTCTTCATATATGTCTAAAGCTATATTAACGCATCTACAACTTGTGTGGCTACATCGATACCTTAAGACAACATATCATAAAAGACTAAATATAATATGTTGTGTATTAGTGCTTTTTATTCATTTGGTAGAACTTCAGTAAGTTTTTTTTTCTTTTAGTTTAATATTTGTTTTTACATACAAAATTTTATTTGGTTTAACCGGTAAACCAAACCGAATAAACCATAACCGAATTAACCAAAACCGATTAAACCGAACCTTATTTGGTTTGGTTATGGTTAGTTTTAAGATGTAAAAAAACCAATAAAACCGAACCGTATAAACCGAAAACCAAAAAAACCGACCGAATAACACCCCTACCCAAATATATAGCCTCGTCATCTAAAAATGAGCACAAGCCGGGTAGAGTTTTTAAAATATGATGTTCTAATAAGGAAAAAAAATGAAAGTTGAAAACATATAACCACAGTAATAAAGTAACAAACAAATGCAAATAATGGCCTACATATTAGATTGAAAACTTAAAATTCAAAAAATTCATATCCATCTCTTTTTTCTGACCAAAAACCATAGTTAATTTGTTCTTTTTGAGGAAAGCATAACCTTTTAAGTGGACGTGGGTAGGACTTGATTGAGCCTACCCTAAAAAAATGCCAAGATATCTGATATAAACATTTGAGAGAGAGAGGAAAGAACATCAGTATCTTTACTGAAAACTGAGAAAAGCAAGGTCATAATACATACATATAGAACTGCTTTTTAAAAATTTGAGATAAGGGAAGAGAAAGACCTAAAGTTAGCATCTAAGTCCCAAGAATCATTAGGATAAATCAAAAAAAAAAAAAGACCTGATGAATTTAACGGAAGCACGTTGCTATTATACGAAGCCAAAAAAACCCAAAAAAGAGTTGATGCTTTTAAACCAACCCCGATAGTTTGATTAACTGATTTTTATTTTTATCTTCTTTTTGTTTGACATATTTGAAATTGAGAAAAGATTTAACCAAAATTTATTTTCTCAGTTACCTAATGCCTATCAAAAATTGTGTAGTAGTAATCATCTGGGAATGGCTAAATTTGATTTAATAGTAGGTAATAGATACAAGTCTGGAAGGTAACAAAAAATGAATGGTTCATTCTATTCCATCCAACCTAACAAACCTTAATTTTGTAAACATTTATTGCCAATACAGCATGTTCACAAACCTTTGCTATCTTTTGGTCCAAAAGCTTTTATTCAACTCAGAACTCGTCCAACTAATGTTAGCAAAGTAATTGTATCAATAAACTTTGCAATTTTATGTTAAATTTTCGTTCATGCTCTCTTTTTCTTGCAATTTTAGAAACTTAGGTCAAGTTCTTAATTGATCCACCATTTTGAGAATGAAGGCTCTGTATGGTGCTTAAAGTACTTCATGGCTTAAGAATCAAAGGTAGCCAACAGCTTCACTGGTTTTACCTCAACAAATTGGACCCAGGGGGAATTTAACACCGGTCTTTGTTAAGTTATTTTAGTTAACAGATTATATAAAATTCTTATACCTGAAATGATAAACCATATGTCATAAATTTTATGAATTATGAAAAAAAGAAAATACTTATTGAAGTCACATGAATTTCTATGGGTCTTTTATCAAATAGATGAATAAATCTACAAACGGATATGTTGCTTTCTATAGCTGTTCCATTTAGTTTACATAAAATTATTTGTGGAGCATTTATTCGGGTCTTTTTATATGGGTAGGCAACAAATTAGAATAATCATCCTAGATAACAAAAATATTAACAGATTTTGATCTTTTTGGCCTTGGTTACAACCTGGAGAAAGAAACAAAGGGGTGACCGTAAATCTAAGAACAAATAACCCATATATTTACAGAGACAACCAATAAAAGAAGAGAACTTTAACCTAAACCAAATTAGGGCTCGTCTTGTTCATCGCCTCTGGTCCAAAAAAAAGGTAAATTAAATGAGAACCCAATAAAAATACAAGATCAAATCGGAATTATCTTATGGGGAAAACCATGAATGAACATGTTTCCTTCAGGCAAGCATCAAAAACCAAAACTATGGCAGGAAGTTAGGTCATGGGGGCGGTCCCAGAATCTTCCCCAAACGATAATCAAAATTGCGTAATAAGCATAAAAGAGCTTACTGGATGTGAGATAGCCGCCTGAAATTAAGGAGTCACCGGATGTCGGGCACACTTCGAAGGTGAACGGAGAAGGCAGGTTCATTGCAATTTTGATACCGGAACAAGTAAAAAAATATCGGTTTGATATTGGAATAAGAAAAAAAAATATCGGTTTGATATTGGAACAAGTAAAAAAAATATCGGTGAAATAAGGAGTTTTTAATAAGAAAAAAACTTGTTTGATACCGGAACAAGTAAAAAAAAATATCGGTTTGATATTGAAATAAGTAAAAAAAAAGTATTTTAAAATTGTTGGTAACCTCTAATAAATTAAAAAGTGATAAGTACCTACCGTTTACTTATTAAAAACTCATTATTTCATCAAATAAGTTATAAATAAAAAAGTCACAAATCTTTTTAAATAAGCTTTGCCAAACACCCTCGTAGTGTTGGGGAGCTGGAGAGGATATTGTAGTGATCGACGATATATAAAGCGATGGTGGTGAGAGCCTGTTCGATTGTTCGATTTTAACTGTGAAAAACAAAAGGTTTGGAAATTGGTATTGAGTTTAAAAATAACTTATTCACTTATTATTTTTTTAAATAAGTTTAAAAAGTATTTGGTAAATGTAAAAAAATAGTTTTTATTTTTGTTTTTAATGAGTTTTTAAAAAGACAGATTTTTTATTTTTTGGAATATTTTATGATACTATTTTATTTTTGTTTTTAATGAGTTTTTAAGAAGTCGTATTTTTTATTTTTTGGAATATTTTATGATTATTTAAGATAAAGTGACTAAAGTTAAAGACATGGTGTCTTAAATTGGCGCTAACATTTGGTGTCACATAGGCACCACTAAGGGTGGAAAATGGGTTGTGTAGTGTCAAGTTTGTATCGAGTTGAGAATGATAGACCCGGACACAACGCATGTAATAAACATGTTGAAAAACATAATACGAACACGACCCGGTCGAACGTGCAACCCAGCAAAACCCATGAACTCAAAAATTGGTGGAAAGAATATGAACTTAAACCAACTCAGCACTCACAAATTAAGTATGTACCGAGATGGAAAAGAGAGTTTTCTGTAGCTCAACAAAATTAGGCAATAAGGAATTCATTCCCCATTATGATGAAAGATGGAAACCAAAGCTTGTAGTTTTTTAGGAAAACGTTATTATATCCAATCAACTATTGTTATTTACCTGATTTGGTCACTAAATTATTTTTTGCACATTAGGTCATTAAAGTTACAAGTTAATTGTCAATTAAGTCATTTTCATTAATTTTAGACGGCTTCCTAGTTACTACTGAGCATATGTAGAAGTGTGACGTGTCGAGGAAGCTTATGTGGCAATGGGTCATGTCGTTGGTCATCCACCATTTCTTTTATATCTTTTTTAAATTAAATATAACTTTAAAAAACATCACACCCCTACCTCTACCCCATATCTTCACCCCCCACTCCTCTCTTTTGTTATATTGGACAATTCATTGGTAAAATCTATCTATCTACCTATCTATCTATCTATATCTATCTATCTATATCTATATCTATATCTATATCTATATATCTTATAAAGCTAGCATTTTTCCTTGAACCTCATGCATTTGAAACTCTCATGCATTTTTCCTTTCACCACATTCATTTGAAACTCTTATGACTTTTTAATTTCTTTATAATAATTATTATAAGTTGGTTAATAAGGTTAAATAAATATCAAACCTAAAGTGTAATCATATATAAACTAAATTTCAATATTAAAATAACATCTTTATTCTACTTATAAAGTTATGTTATTAAACTTTTAACATATTATACTTAATTTATTAGCTTTAATATATTGTTGGATGTAAACCATTATCATTTTAAAGATACAAGTTTGGAATAATTTGTATAAAATACTTAAATTATTAATTTAAATATAACATTATATGGTCAACTTAAGTATAATTTTTAGTTTAACTTAAACAACCCAAAAAAATATTTTGTAAATAGTTAAAAATGATGAATTGTAGTGTCTTTCTAATAATGATTATAAGTTGATTAATAAGGTTAAATAAATATATCAAACATAAAGTGTAATCATAACTAAACTAAATTTCAATTTTAAAATAATATATTTACTTCTACTTATAAAGTTATGTCTTTAACTTTTAACATATTATAATTAATTATTAGATTTAAAATGTTGTTTTATGTAAACCATTATCAATTTAAACCTACAACTTTTGAACAGTTTTGACAAAATACTTAAATTGTTAATTTAAATATAACATTACAGTGTCAACTTAAATATAAATTTCAGTTCCACTTAAAAAATCAA